TATTGAAGGTGGGCCCATGAAAAAGTTCAAGACCACAAAGTAGAAACGATGCATATTTTTACGTATAGTACAACATGTTTGATTTTCCATTCCTTCAAAAACTTTCTTAAGTCAACCCGTGTTATAACTTGTCAGATAGCCTTTTCTGTCAGCTATAAACATCTAACATTTTTGGAATGAGAAAAATGGAAACACAATAATGAGAGAGTTATATATTGTTTTTGTAACTTTAAGAGTGGTACCAGGGCTCCGAATGGGCGGGCCCATAGGCCGTCATGGGCCAAAAGTGTTTTGGAAATTACTATGAGACAAAAGGGGTAGAAAAGGTTTTTCGAGAGGATTCTATGAGACACTAGCTCTGTGGTTTCGTAGAAACGGTATTTTTAAAAGTTGGTTGTTTTTGTCAAGAGTCAGAGCTCTCATTCGATAATTTTTAGTGTTTATAGATTCATATATGTAAAAGTTTTCAAAAAAAGAATCCTAACTGTGAAAAGAAACGACCTAGTTCAAAAAACGCAATTCCTACGAAACCACAGAGCTAGTGTCTCATAGAATCTTTCTAAAAAAACTTTTCAACTCCTTTTGTCTCACAGTAATTTCCAAAACACTTTCGGCCCATGACGGCCCATGAGCCGGTCCATTCGGAGCCCTGCGTGGTACCGTTTCCTGTTTTTGTTATTTTTTCCAAAAGTCAGATGCGGCATCAATTGTTATACAAGATTCATATTATGATTGACTTCTAGATTATTATAATTATATTAGATAATTGTATGACGACTATTGGCTTCATCACTCTAGTGGTGATTAGATTTGTTTAGATCTTACTTTTCTCGTTTAAAAAACTATACGATTTTTGCACACAGAGCATTGAGCTTTCTCTGCATGAGGCATAATAGAATACGTGCTCTTAAACAATGTAACAAAATTATAGATATGTGGCTCTTTTTTTACAACTTAACAGCCACGCGCCCTTTTGCATAGCTTCGATAAAATAGAAATGACGTTACCTCTTCAGTATCGCTCTTAATCGTATGTTCTTCTCACCTTCACATATAATGCTCGTTCCTGCTGGTATGCACCAACATCGGTTTCTTTTTCTCCTTCCTTTTCTATGATTCTCACTGGTTCTTTGTTTCACCATTTTTCTATGATAAAGAAGAAAAACAATGCACACGATTTCTCAATTTCTGTTTGACAGCCTACATCAACACTACGTTTTTTCCGGATGCTGCTTTTTTCTGTGCATGCATGATAACCAAATACAGCATGAAATTCATTCAGAGAATATCAATAGTAGATTGATATCAGATGTAACTATGATTCATAAACTTCTGCTTCACGAATTCCAATGACAGTGTGTGAATATGGCTAAATTTAAATGAATGTCTTTGCAAAAATCATATGCTTTTTTAAACGAGAGAAGTAAGATCTAAACAAATCTGATCACCACTAGAGTGATGAAGCCAATAGTCGTCATACAATTATCTAATATAATTATAATAATCTAGAAGTCAATCATAATATGAATCTCGTATAACAATTGATGCCGCATATGACTTTTTGGAAAAAATAACACAAACAGGAAACGGTATCACTCTTAAAGTTACAAAAACAATATATAACTCTCTCATTATTGTGTTTCCATTTTTCTCATTCCAAAAATGTTAGATGTTTATAGCTGACAGAAAAGGCTATCTGACAAGTTATAACACGGGTTGACTTAAGAAAGTTTTTGAAGGAATGGAAAATCAAACATGTTGTACTATACGTAAAAATATGCATCGTTTCTACTTTGTGGTCTTGAACTTTTTCATG